GAATTCCTTGCTGAGCATACTTGTGAATTACACCTTGATAAAAGACCAAGAACAAATTTAAAAAGCAAACGTTTCATGCTTGAGTTTTGAATAATCTTTGCAATGTTGCTGATTTAACATAGAGGCATAAAAACATATACAAGTAGAAATTATATGCTCACAAAGTAATTTTAGTTTAAATACTAATGCAAAGCATGAAAAACAATGAGACTTGTACTCTATGGAATGTAAAGAGGTAAAAATTGGAAGTCTGCAACTTTGAATGGAAATAGTTTCAATCATTTTGGACAATTTAATACCAGCAGTTAACAATGTCAGATTTAAACAAAAATTAAACAGGCCAAACAATAGCAATTGCGGATTAGCATAACACATAAAATTTGGATATACAAACCTTTGAAAGCACATCCCGATCCCGTAAGCTTGAAGCTGACAGTGACAGCTGCACAATAGCACCAGAGAAAGAGTTAGCAATTACTAGCAAGACCTAATCATCAGGTACCACTATGCCTAGAACCTATACTACTGCAGGATTGGTTGTAGCCATTTTATGTGACAAAACTATAAAATGTTGCTATTCAAACATAAATTTGATGTACACCCTCTGTAATTCTCACAAAAGAGAATCTGAACAGAGGATGGACATCAGTTGGGCCCCAGGTTAAACCCAAAACTGGTTGTGGGAGGGTCATTGGATTTTGGGAGGGGGGGGGGGGGGGTGGGGTGTATCCAGCCTGTTTAGTTCTTTGGCCTAAGAAAGGCACAAGCAATGCTGAGCCACAGTGTAGGGCTCCCTTTGCGGACGAAAGACGTGAGTATAATATTAATTTTGCCACAGAAACTAACATGAAAATTACACAAGTACAATAAATCCAGGTAGCTCTGCTGGTTGGAGGAAATAAATCAACAGAATAGTCATGTTGTATACCATAATCCCCTCTTCATTACAAGCTACTGGACTGCATTTGATTTTTACAGTTACAGTTAATTTTGACCATTAATATCTATTATGCACTTGTTTTATTACATATTATAAAAAATCTTGACCGTTAATTTAATGAAAGTATTTTATGCAATTTGCTAAATTAACACGAACTTTCATAGCATCTGTACACATTGCCACCTATTAAACATCCTGAAACAAATTACAAATACCTTCACAACCATTGTCTAAAGCACGATCAGTTTTAGTCAGAATAGCTGATGCCTTATGAATCTTAGATTAGAAATACTATTTCCTCCGCCCATATTAACAGGTAAATCTACCAAACACGTGTCCCCATATAAATGATATACTACCTACATTTCTTAATGATTTAACACTTTCAGTATTCGTCCGTTACAAAAAGTTCTTATCACTTATGTTTTTGGCAAACAATTTTTACCATCTTACCCCTTAACCCACAATATTTACACCTTCCCACTCACAATGTAGTACTTTATTTATCTTTTCTTCCACTCACCCATGGTATTAAATATTGCCCACCTCACCATATCGCGACCACATTGTAAAGGATTTGAGCTTATCACAGCTGATATATTAGGTTGCAACAACAGTAGCATACCACCAGCATAGTCCGCATAAATGGTTCCATGATCGCAACCACATCCAAGATTTAAAACCATGCACCCACCCCAGCTTTATACACTCTCATTCTTCCTTTATCCACCCTTTTCTAACACACACTTATCACATTAACAATCTCTCCTACTGTATTGATTTGTGTGTATAACAAGGGCTAAGATCATTTATTAAACGGAGTTAGTAATTTTAATAAGTTTTTCTTCAATATTTTCTCTAGAATTGGGTCCATACCAAGTTACCCACCACCCATTTTCTATCTCTACTTTTCCTCTCAACTTAGAATTGTATCATTTGCTTGTGTATACAAATTAATGATGGGCGGAGTATCAAATTTCCAAAATAAGGTCCAACAACAACAAAGCCTTAGTCCCAAAATGATTTGGAGTCTGCTAACATGAATCGTCGTAAATAATCATATGATATAATAAAAAGGACAAAAAAGGGTCCAATACACAAAAAATCATTTGGAAAAGAAAAAAAGAACCCTAAAAGCCCAATTTACCTTATATAAAATGATCTGTTATGATTGTTGACTAAGAATCCCTTAAGGACTTCTTTTGGTTTGTTCACTGACATATGATTTGTACACCAAGAATCAATTTTCAGAGACTAAGGTCATTTGCTTGGATCATTTGGAATGGGTTAGGATGGAGTTAGAATCCATTCCATCTAGTTTTTTGTTTGGTTGAGGATTTTAGTAATGGAATCTCATACCCAAAGAATACTAATTCCCCCCATATCCATGGAATCACATACCCACTCCTCCCCCTAAGATTCACAATCCATTCTATTAATGAAGGATAGAGTCCATTCCAACAATAAAACCAAACTACTTTGGGCTAGTATGGGTTTTTGAATCCATACCTCTCTAGTATGAGATTCCATACCAATCCATTCCAACTTGATGAACCAAACACCCCCAAGGTAGTTAAATGATAAATAATGCCTCTAGAAACAACATTATAAACTATTTAACTTTTGGTCTCATGACTTGTACATCATAGGATCAAATCAATTCCTCTAGGAGCTCTTTGGGGTGGGGATCCCCTTATCCTCTCCCCCCCCCCCCACTTTGCCATTGATGCAAATAGGTGGCCCTTTCTTAAATTCTTCCATCCATAAAATAGTCGTCATATGCATTAGACATTCAAAGTTGGGTTGGATTGCCTTATGGGAGGAACCAATTTAGCAGGGTCATTCTCCTTACCTTAAAAGGATAAAAGAAATAAAAATGATTTTAGCATTAAATTTGTCCTGTGCTGGAAGAAAGAATATAATCAAACAGACAATGGTTGTGGTTATTGACAAATACAGACCACTGATGGCGCCTTGTGCATTGATAATGTCTCTAGAAACTACAACTGAGCAGATATGCAATGACGAATAGAAGTAGTTTCATAAATGCTGCAAACAACCTTACCACAAGTCCTACTCACAATGTTCCACTGAAATCAACCATGAGTTCTAACATTGACGCTCTCAGAGCAAAATTTATTTTTTGTCTTTTAGAGTACCACTACCAAAAATAGGCTACAAGACTTGGTTTAATGATGACCAGGTTTTCACTTACTTTGACAGTTGTACTCATCATCTTCCCTATCCATTCTACAGAAAAAACACAATCAGAAACCATTCCATCTCCTCAAACTCCTCTATATGACCGGCATTATTCCATCCAAGGTGCCTTTCTAGAATGTAACCCATAAACACTCTCATTAACTAATTGCTACTGTCCTAGCTCGTCGAGTTAGTACAAAATTGATACTCATTGACCAACAAAACAAAAGGCTATATATCCATCATAATGCAGCCAGCACCCCTGTCAGCAAACACATCTAATTTCTCTACTTATTCCAATAAAATGAAAACTCATCATTCTCCCTTTCCCTCCAAAGCACACAAGAACCGAATCTTATTCTTCGCGACAAACTCCTTAAATTGACAAGAATTTCACAAACAAACTCGCTCCAAAGAATGCAATACTTAATCACTGCTCAAATTAAACAATCCCCTTGTACCACCCAAAGCCAAGATAGTATTACAACCTCCAACAATCACATTACAAATCAAAATTAAACTTCAATTTTAGCAATTGCTGAATATCACAACAAGAACAAGATTGCACATAGAATTCCAAAACTGGAAGAATAAAGGTAAGCAACTAATCTTACTAATAATAGAAATAGTGTACAAATTACAGAATTCCCACATAAAAAAAAGTACAGTCAAACTCCAAAAACGGTTAAAAAAAACAGTCAAAGGAGAGAGAAAGAAACCTCGATCTGAGAGAATAGACCATGGTAACCATGAGACTTAAGGAAGAAACTAACGGCGTCGTTTGGACCGTCGTTGTGATGCTTATACTGACCACCGCCACCGCCAACCGCCGTTCTACCGCCGGCGTCGCCGAAGCAGCAGCCATTACCCATTATCTTTACTACCCAAGAAATTATTATTGTGGAAAAAAATAAAAAGTTGGAGAAAAAAAAAAGGGAGAAATTAGGAAGGAGACATGAAAAGACAAGGAAGATGTGTAGGCAAGGAGAGGAGAGCAATCAAAGTGGGTCCCTTTGTTAGTCTGCTCTCTGACCAACGCCTCTCTCTCTCTCCCTTCTTATGTACTTCGTATTAAATCTCTTCATCTCCAAAAGTCCAAATAACTAAGGATTAGAGATGTATCTGGACGGGAATGGGTCTCGATTTGGCGGGTAGTGGGGCGGGGATGAGACTAAAAACCATACCCATTATGGGTGATAGGGCGAGGTGAATTTTAGATTGTACCCGTCCCACCCCACTTCGTACCTGCCCCATCTCCATCCAATACCCTTATTTATATATTTTTAAAAACAAAATTATATATACTTTTATAGTATTTTATAAAAAAAAATATGTAAAATAAAATAGTAAATATAACACTTTGTAATACACTTATATTATAAACAATGATTTTTTATAATTGTAATCTATATTAATTATGTAGGATTTTGTATTTAGAAAGCGGGGATTAGGTGGAGGTGGATATCCAAGTGGGGCACGGGGCAAGGATGATTTTGGAACTGTACCACCGGGGCGAAGATGGGGATGAATTTTAAACCCATTGCGGGGATGGGGATGAAAATATTAGGTGGGGATAGGGATAGAACAGCCAACATCCGCTTTGCCCCATTAACATCTAAGGATCCTGTCAAATAATAAAAATAAATAAATAAACTAAGGACATGTTTAGGACTTGTTTGTTTCATATGGGAATGTTAGGAGACGTTTAGTATGAATATTAGAAATGGAATGGAAAGAAAATGAATAAAGAGAAAGAAAGAAATTATTTAACAGTTGCAATACCTTTTCGTTTGTTTGGTTTAAACATGGACATAAATCACCTATTTTTGTTTGAGGATAAGGGTATTGTTACCTTAGCTTTTAGAGAGGTAAGTAGTAGATCACATATTAAAATCACAACTTCTTTACAAACAAACGATAAATCCATCTGGAATGTAGAGATGCACAAGCTGACATCTTTCAACTATATGTTACAAACTACAATAGTTTAATCCCATGAAAAAATGGGAGAAAATACAAAAGTAAATTTCACGAATTCCATTCCACATGATATAATAGGTGATTTGTATGAACAGATGAAAGTCCCCATTCTTCATCGTCTCCACATTTGTATGTTGAACAGTCTAGGGCAGCACTAGTTGCATAGAATCCCTCTATAAAAACTCATAATATTGTACAGCATGAGTTGGTCTTTTTTGCTTGCTTGTAGAACATCTGTGCCAAAAACAAAAATTTGTTACCGTAAGTTATCATCATGGCATTGTAGTTGCAACGTTGTAGTTGCAACGCATAAAAGATAAAGATTTTTCGCAACACTTGAGCTACAACATCACAACCTTGATGCCCAAAAAAAAGCTAAATAAATTCTTGTTTGTCATGCATATCACAATTTCAATTTAAACAATTAAACTGATTATCATCGAAACAAGATAACAGATAAAAATTCTATAGCCAATAACATTGAACTCATACTTGTTAAAACACAAACCCCAACTCCAGTTCTCATTCTTTAATTATTTATTTCCAACGCTTCATTCTCCCATTCCTAAAGTCCAAAAGAAGGTGATTTCACATCTAGCATGGTTTAGACCCCTTTTGGTTTGATGTAAAACATTTTCAATGAAAAATTAGTTTCGTGAAAAACATATTTGCGAGGAAAACCGCAATTGCAAGTTAGTTTTCCCTTGTTTGGTTCCAACCCCCCCCCCCCCAATCTCTCCTTTTCTATCTATGTACTCCTATGTACTTCATAATTATTTTTCAGTGTTAATTTCAGATCCTTTCTGGACTTTTCCTCTTAGAGCTTGTTTTGAGTAAAATCTCTAAAGAGAAATCCAAGAGTTCTGCTTTTTGCAGGTACTTGTATGTATCTTTATTGCATCCAAATATCTAAATCTCAGTACAAATCATGAGAGCTCTGATGGAATGTACAATGCCAAAAAAAGCTGCAGACAATTATTCCGCACATCACATTCTAACACACACACACACACACATGAAATAAATAAATAAACAATCTTATCAAAATTGAGTTATTGAGTTAAAACCTTAGCTTGCACATTGACGCAAGACAAAACATTTAACCTTACTTGATAAAGAGATTAAATGATCCTAGAATAACAAAATGAACAGTTTTTCTTGGAAAATTTCCTATGTTCATCTGTGAAAAGATAAATTACAAAATTATAGGAATTTATCTTTGAGGCTTGGTGGTTATAAAAAATAACAGTTATTTTCTCCGATAAAATTGCCACCAAGGTACAATGTGGATTGGCAATGGGACACCTATGCAATAGATCAAGAGACAGTCCTCCCACATCTTGCAGTGAAAAATAAAGGCCTAAAATGTAGGACAATATAAAGAGCAGCAAATTCTCAAACACATGCATATCTGGCAGAAGTACAAGGAACAAACACCACTTGCAAGAAATATATACATACAAGCAAACACCAAACTTAAAATCAGCTAAAAAGTTATGAGCAATGATCAAATAAACACCTGTGATGCAGCACTAAGATCTGAACTCTTTTCTACCAAGCTATCCAGCCTTTCACCACGCTCTAGGACACTATCAATTGTCTTATGCTGCGGAAAATTGAAAAAAAAAAGGATTAATAAAAAAAATAACAATTTAAAATTATCAGACAATCAAATTGAAAGAAATAAAAGAGAGTACTAAGCAGACTCATTCCTGCAACAGTGCCATTACACCTACCAACAATATGCCCTTGTATGCATTTTGACCATAAAACACACTATATTTCTTATTAGGTTACCCAATCATCACATTGCAGAAAAAGGAACTGTCGGATGAGCAGTATTGCAGTTGCAAGTATATATATATATATACATATTAAAGTAATACATGTCAAAAAAAAAATATGTCAACAAAACTCTTAGCATTGGCATAGCTTTCTAGGATTACCAAATCTTTTCAGATAACTACACTCAAATGGTTCAAATTTAATATTACATAACCTAAAGCTGTAAAAGCTGCTGCTTTAATTAGTGAAAGCTGGGCAGAGACTGAAAAAGAGCTTTTGTACCTAAAAATGTATGTAACAAAACAAAAATGGCATAAATCAGAAGACAAGTACATGTAAAGGCATGTATATGTGAAGCAAGGCAAAGCAAACTTTTAAGAGTTGGTGCCAAGTAGATAATAAGGTTAATAGAATAGATTGATCGTAAGATACAAGCTGTCAAATATCAGTTTTAGCAAGCAAAGGACATATTAAAATAGGCTATGTTACTCAGATGACAGTGCAAATTTCATACAAGAATAATCTTAGTTTCATCCAGCTCCCTTTGAATCTTCAGTAGCTTATCAGCTTCAGCTGGGTCCTGTAGATTTAGTAAAAGAAACCATGATCAGTTCTGTCTCAAAAAGCATACACAATTAAAATACCTCAATCAACATAATGGTCTAATTAAAAATGCCAACACAGAAATACCTGGTACTTGGCCAAAGCCTCATTCAAATAAGGCCATGGTTGTGTGCTATCAGAAGTTACACCTTTCCATGAGTCACCAAATGCCTTTTGGTATTCATCTAACACCTATAAAGCATTAACATCAATAGCCATCCATGGATTGAAGTAATTCAATTGCTGCGGTTACTTTGTCAATTTGTTAAAAAAAGAAGGGGGGAAAAAAGCACAAAGCATGCATTAGAATATAATAGTGTCACTAACAATACCAGCTGAAAACTTGCAGATCAAATTATCTTAAACTAAAAGTAGATAACTTTAAATAGGCAATAAATAAAGTGGGATCCTTATTCCAACATCTACACGAAGGGGGAAAACTAAGGTGGGCTTTAGTTTAAACTACATTACAATGAAGAACAAGTTTTTAACTTAGTTCGTACGGCGTCTTAACTCACCAAAAGATTCGTATAAAATAAAACAAAATTATACATATTTCAAGGGGATATAATGCTACCTGATGAACCCCCACCCCCAACCCCACCCCCCATGAACCGAAAACCGAATTGCAAACCCATACCAAATCTAATACTAGTAAATTGTCTAGGAGGATACGATACTCAGAATAACAATTACAATATAGCATACAACATGAATTCTGAAAACTAGTTTACAAGAGTGATTGGGGGGTAAAGAAAGGATAAACATTATAAATGAAATGGGGAAAACAATAGAGAGCAAATAAGGAAGGAAGAAACTAGTAAGGACACACACACACACACACCCCACGCACACACACCCACACCCACACCCACCCAGACACGCACACACATACGCACGCACGCACGCACCCGCACCCGCACCCACACACACACACACACACACGCACGCAGAAGACAGTTTTGTGTGTGTGAGTGCGCGCGTGAAAAAGAAAAAAAGAAAACAGAGATTAACGTTGTGAGATAATCCAGAAGAAAGTCTCATGTGTGTGTGGGTGTGGGTGTGGGTATGCGTACGCGTGGGCATGTGTAAGCGTGTGTGTGTGTGTGTTATAGGATATACCACCAGCTAGCACTGTTGCAGATAAAGACCGACAAGTGCGGTCAGGAGACACAACCAGCTAGCACAGTTGCAGATAAAGATACTACCAGCTAGCACAGTTGCAAATAAAGACCGACAAGTGCGGTTAGGAGATACTACTAGCTACACAGTTGCAGATAAAACCGACAAGTGCGGTAAGGAATCATAAGAGAGGACAGCAGGAAACGTGAAGTAACAGTACACAGACACACACAAACATTTCAACAAAGCCTTACATTCTAAATTTTATCTCTAAAAGACAAAATAAAAGTTTTACCATTTGAACCCTTGATCTACAAATTAGTATTACTTCATAAGATTTTCAAGAATGGATGAAATTTGGTGCCACTTCTTCGTCCCTCTCTCCTCCCCCCCCCCCCCCCCCCCAAATCACTCTTCTGTCAATTGGGAAAGTATTAGAATAGTGGGCACATCACTAATTGAATATGCCTGATTCTCATGTCAACCAAGACCTATGGCCATCTTCATTTCAACAATCAAGAAACCAACAAGACCCCCAATCAAAATAGATCTTAATGCCAAAAAAAAGTCCACAAGGTTATATCCTTCCATTTCATCAATAGCTCATTCAAATTACAAGTCCAATTTATTTTCATCTTCACCTAATATAAAGCAACTGTTGGTTTGAAGACATGGTATGTGTCAACAGCCATGTTGCTACTCCAATGTTACACATGTTCCTGTGTCACCTACTCTGTTAGATCAATTTGACAGACAAAGTAGAGCCTAAAGACACAATTATCCACAATTATGTTCGAATTGTAAATTTAGCACCATTATGCACTAGTGTGAATATATATGCAGATGAGATACCAGCAGAGGCTTATAGTCTATGCCATAACAAAATCACTATACATGTGACAGGCCAAAGTACCTGAGTTAGCAGCGAAAATGCACTCCGGACTGGGTAGGGGTCATCCATAAAACCCAGTGCACAAAGGCCCCCTCTATTGTAAGCATGCACCTTGTATTCTGATCAAAAGAAGGGGGAAAGAAAACAAACAAACAAATGAGGCTCAGAACCAATATAAAAAAAAAAAAAAAAAAAAAAAAAACTCAATCTCACACACACAAAAGAAGAAAAAATTAAATAAAAGCTAATACTTAACATAAATCTGACAATCCCATTAAAGCTGAACAAGAAAAGGATGTGAATGTTCAACTATTAGCATAATCCTTCAATCACACTTTCTTTTTAGCTAAATCACTCGTCAACCAAAAACAGCAAAGTCAAGTAACGACACTTGTAGGACTCATTCATAGGACAACTGCCAACCGCTGGATTCACAAGCAAAGCGATATCAAACCCTAATAGCAATCCTGAACATAATTAAACATATACGTAGTATTTGACATTCCCATTATAGCTGAAACAAGGTAATCTCTGTATGAATGATCAATCATTCAACATATTTCATCAATCAAATTACTTTTAGCTAGAACACTAACCAACCAAAACAGCAAACACGAATTTTGGTACTCTTAAAGGTGTAACTTAGAGGGAAACATCCAATATATTTAAATCAAAACAGTTCGTAAGCAAAGCGGTATCGAACCCAAACCGCAATCCTGAACATAATCTAACACAATAATTATCAATGAGCAATTTGATTTCAGCATATCATTAGAACATTAGAGCAGATCCTAAAAAAACTAATGATCAAATAACTTTGCTGAACTAATCATTGAATTTCAATTCCAAATCCATTAGATCAAGGCACAAACATTTCAATCAACCCTAAAAATCGAATAATTCTAAACCCACCAAGCTCAACTATCCATAATTGCTCACAAAAACAGACAACCAACAAGATCAATTACAATAAAATCAATCAAAAAAACTGGATTTCAAAACTAAAATTGGAAACAATTATCATTAAAAGAAAAAATAGAAACCTTCATGTTGAACAGATTGACGTTGGCCAGGAAGGGTGCGTTTGGCAACAGTACGAGAGACGAAGACGATGAATTCACGAACGCTGGATCTTTGGAAGAATCCGAATGTACTCACATCCGATGCATTTGCTAAGATTATCGGGTTTTCTTCGCTAGACCCGCATTTCAGAACCACAATTGCCGTGATCTTCATCCTGAGTTCTTGGTTTTTTCTCCCTAGAGATAGTCGGTTTTCAGTTTTCTCTCTCTACAAAACTGAAATGATTCTTATTAGGTTGCATTTGGATACACTCAATTCATTGCAAATGAAAGATTTCAATTTCAGAATTTGAATTCTTAGAATTCAATTCCAAAATATTTGTTTGGGAAATAGTAGAATTTCAATTCCTGGATTTAAAATTCCATCTGATGTATGAAGAAGAATAAATTTTCTACAGATATGCAGAGTAATTAAACATTGAAAAAGTGAAATGATTTAATTAATCTGTGGATAATTTTTAATTGATCGAGCAAACAAAATTAAAAAAGAAAAATTAACAAACAAAATTGACTAATTTATAAATGTACTGACTTTTAGCTCTGAAATGCTTTAATATGATATTTTCCAAGTTCAATATGAAATGCTTCAGAAATAGTCACCATCAGCCAATAGGGGGGACAACACATCACAACAACAACCGGGGGGGGGGGGAAGCAATGCAGATATATAAGAGAATGATTGTCCGTGTATATTTATAAGAGAACAAACAAAGGAGGGATTTGAAGGTGCCTTTAAAATTCTGGTTTGGGTCTTATCCCAAATTTTCAGCTGCCATATATCTAAACTATGTAGCATATTGAAAGTTAGATAAGAACAGTGAATTTAAAAGTAAGAACTATTCATAATAACAAGAAGTTTTACTTATCCCGCAACTAAGTTACGCAATTGCCTATCAATAAATTAAGTTACGCAATTGACTACTAATATCTTATTGTAAAGCTACATCGTAGCTCACCACCTTCTAATGATACCTCTTAGGCAAAATAGAAAATATGCAAAAAGTGACATGTTAAATGTCAAAAGATTATATCAAAAACTAAGTTTGTTAAAAAAGCAATGCAGATATATAAGAGAATGATTGCCCGTGTATATTTATAAGAGAACAAACAAAGGAGGGATTTGAAGGTGCCTTTAAAATTCTGGTTTGGGTCTTATCCCAAATTTTCAGCTGCCATATATCTAAACTATGTAGCATATTGAAAGTTAGATAAGAACAGTGAATTTAAAAGTAAGAACTATTCATAATAACAAGAAGTTTTACTTATCCCGCAACTAAGTTACGCAATTGCCTATCAATAAATTAAGTTACGCAATTGACTACTATATATAAGAGAATGATTGTCCGTGTATATTTATAAGAGAACAAACAAAGTAGGGATTTGAAGGTGCCTTTAAAATTCTGGTTTGGGTCTTATCCCAAATTTTCAGCTGCCATATATCTAAACTATGTAGCATATTGAAAGTTAGATAAGAACAGTGAATTTAAAAGTAAGAACTATTCATAATAACAAGAAGTTTTACTTATCCCGCAACTAAGTTACGCAATTGCCTATCAATAAATTAAGTTACGCAATTGACTACTAATATCTTATTGTAAAGCTACATCGTAGCTCACCACCTTCTAATGATACCTCTTAGGCAAAATAGAAAATATGCAAAAAGTGACATGTTAAATGTCAAAAGATTATATCAAAAACTAAGTTTGTTAAAAAAGCAATGCAGATATATAAGAGAATGATTGCCCGTGTATATTTATAAGAGAACAAACAAAGGAGGGATTTGAAGGTGCCTTTAAAATTCTGGTTTGGGTCTTATCCCAAATTTTCAGCTGCCATATATCTAAACTATGTAGCATATTGAAAGTTAGATAAGAACAGTGAATTTAAAAGTAAGAACTATTCATAATAACAAGAAGTTTTACTTATCCCGCAACTAAGTTACGCAATTGCCTATCAATAAATTAAGTTACGCAATTGACTACTATATATAAGAGAATGATTGTCCGTGTATATTTATAAGAGAACAAACAAAGGAGGGATTTGAAGGTGCCTTTAAAATTCTGGTTTGGGTCTTATCCCAAATTTTCAGCTGCCATATATCTAAACTATGTAGCATATTGAAAGTTAGATAAGAACAGTGAATTTAAAAGTAAGAACTATTCATAATAACAAGAAGTTTTACTTATCCCGCAACTAAGTTACGCAATTGCCTATCAATAAATTAAGTTACGCAATTGACTACTAATATCTTATTGTAAAGCTACATCGTAGCTCACCACCTTCTAATGATACCTCTTAGGCAAAATAGAAAATATGCAAAAAGTGACATGTTAAATGTCAAAAGATTATATCAAAAACTAAGTTTGTTAAAAAAGCAATGCAGATATATAAGAGAATGATTGCCCGTGTATATTTATAAGAGAACAAACAAAGGAGGGATTTGAAGGTGCCTTTAAAATTCTGGTTTGGGTCTTATCCCAAATTTTCAGCTGCCATATATCTAAACTATGTAGCATATTGAAAGTTAGATAAGAACAGTGAATTTAAAAGTAAGAACTATTCATAATAACAAGAAGTTTTACTTATCCCGCAACTAAGTTACGCAATTGCCTATCAATAAATTAAGTTACGCAATTGACTACTATATATAAGAGAATGATTGCCCGTGTATATTTATAAGAGAACAAACAAAGGAGGGATTTGAAGGTGCCTTTAAAATTCTGGTTTGGGTCTTATCCCAAATTTTCAGCTGCCATATATCTAAACTATGTAGCATATTGAAAGTTAGATAAGAACAGTGAATTTAAAAGTAAGAACTATTCATAATAACAAGAAGTTTTACTTATCCCGCAACTAAGTTACGCAATTGCCTATCAATAAATTAAGTTACGCAATTGACTACTAATATCTTATTGTAAAGCTACATCGTAGCTCACCACCTTCTAATGATACCTCTTAGGCAAAATAGAAAATATGCAAAAAGTGACATGTTAAATGTCAAAAGATTATATCAAAAACTAAGTTTGTTAAAAAAGCAATGCAGATATATAAGAGAATGATTGCCCGTGTATATTTATAAGAGAACAAACAAAGGAGGGATTTGAAGGTGCCTTTAAAATTCTGGTTTGGGTCTTATCCCAAATTTTCAGCTGCCATATATCTAAACTATGTAGCATATTGAAAGTTAGATAAGAACAGTGAATTTAAAAGTAAGAACTATTCATAATAACAAGAAGTTTTACTTATCCCGCAACTAAGTTACGCAATTGCCTATCAATAAATTAAGTTACGCAATTGACTACTATATATAAGAGAATGATTGCCCGTGTATATTTATAAGAGAACAAACAAAGGAGGGATTTGAAGGTGCCTTTAAAATTCTGGTTTGGGTCTTATCCCAAATTTTCAGCTGCCATATATCTAAACTATGTAGCATATTGAAAGTTAGATAAGAACAGTGAATTTAAAAGTAAGAACTATTCATAATAACAAGAAGTTTTACTTATCCCGCAACTAAGTTACGCAATTGCCTATCAATAAATTAAGTTACGCAATTGACTACTAATATCTTATTGTAAAGCTACATCGTAGCTCACCACCTTCTAATGATACCTCTTAGGCAAAATAGAAAATATGCAAAAAGTGACATGTTAAATGTCAAAAGATTATATCAAAAACTAAGTTTGTTAAAAAAGCAATGCAGATATATAAGAGAATGATTGCCCGTGTATATTTATAAGAGAACAAACAAAGGAGGGATTTGAAGGTGCCTTTAAAATTCTGGTTTGGGTCTTATCCCAAATTTTCAGCTGCCATATATCTAAACTATGTAGCATATTGAAAGTTAGATAAGAACAGTGAATTTAAAAGTAAGAACTATTCATAATAACAAGAAGTTTTACTTATCCCGCAACTAAGTTACGCAATTGCCTATCAATAAATTAAGTTACGCAATTGACTACTAATATCTTATTGTAAAGCTACATCGTAGCTCACCACCTTCTAATGATACCTCTTAGGCAAAATAGAAAATATGCAAAAAGTGACATGTTAAATGTCAAAAGATTATATCAAAAACTAAGTTTGTTAAAAAAGCAATGCAGATATATAAGAGAATGATTGCCCGTGTATATTTATAAGAGAACAAACAAAGGAGGGATTTGAAGGTGCCTTTAAAATTCTGGTTGTGGTGCAGGCGTTATTTGCCAGTCCCCGGAAGGGGATAAGTTTGAATATGCACTACGGTTCAAGTTCCAGGCTTCAAATAACGAAGTAGAATATGAAGCCTTGTTAGCTGGCATGCGTATGTGTAAGGCAGCCGGGGCAAGGAAAGTTGACGCCTGCTCAGATTCTCAACTGATTGTTAGCCAATACCATGGTGACTACGAAGCCACCCATTCGGCTATGATCAAATATTTGCAGGCGGTCAGGGAAGAGGCTGCGTCACTTGATGAATTTCACTTGAGTCAAGTGCCACGGTCTGAAAATAATCAGGCGGATGCACTTTCCAAATTGGCATCATCCGCCTCCTGTGATGCGCCGAGGACGGTCTTTTGGGAAGTCATGGACAAAAGAAGCATAGAGCATGATCCCATTGGAATTTTGGACCGAAGCGCCACCTGGATGGATCCCATCCGGGCTTATCTGACAGACGACTCTTTGCCGGATGTCCCTTCAGAAGCAGCTGCGCTCAAGAAGCGAGCTCTGAGTTTTGTTATGCACCAAGGAGAACTTCTCCGGAAGGGACACTTATAGCCGTTTCTAAAGTGTGTAACCCCAGAAAGGGGAAAAGAAGTACTGGAAGATCTACATGCGGGCTTTTGTGCCTCGCATATAGGCAGCAGAGCCCTTGCTAAAAGAACCAGGCGGTAAGGATATTTTTGGCCTACTCTTGAGGCGGATGCCATGGACCTAGTAAAGAGGTGTGATAAGTGCCAATAGTTCGGTCGGTAGATTCATCGTCCGGCAACGGATCTCACAGCCATACGCAATCTGGTCCCGTTTGCAAAATGGGGGATGGATATATTGGGACCCTACACGCCTGCTTCAGGCGATCGACGCTACATCTTAGTAGCCGTAGACTACTTCACCAAATAGGTTGAAGCAGAGGCGGTCAAAGGCATAAAAACGAAGGACGTGATTTCCTTCATTTGGAGAAACATTATCACCCGGTTTGGGGTCCCCATGTCAATGGTATTCGACAATGGTCCTCAATTTGAGACGCCTGTGCTCAAGGGCTGGTTGGGGGATCAGGGCATCTCCCATTGCTTTGGGTCTGTAGGCAGACCCCAGGCAAACGGACAAGTTGAGGCCTTCAATAAGATCATCTCAGACAGTGTTAAGAAGAAAGTTGAAAAGACTGGTGGTCTATGGGCAGATGAACTGCCTCATGTTCTTTGGGCCATCTGAACAACTGATAAGGGGGCAACCGGTGAAACCCCGTTTCTTATGGCATACGGCTCTGAGGCTGTTCTCCCTATTGAGCACTATGAGCCAACTCTCCGGGTCATGTTATACGATGAGGAGGCCTATTGGGAGGCCATGCGTCTGGCCCTGGATGCTCTCCCAGAGCGCAGGGGCAACGCTGCCTTACGACAAGAGATCTACCGTCTGAGAATTACTAGAGCCTACAACAAGCGGGTACACAAGCGGCCC